TACTGCAAAATACTTTCTATACATTGTACCTATATTAATGCACTTGGTACCTGTTAAAACTGAACCAATTACCATATTCCAGTAGTGCATATTACCAAAATAAGTAAATTAATGACGAATGGAGATTTTTTATGTTTTTCCTAAACAAATATGTACCATTTCTCCATTAATTTCGTTTTCTCAACGAATATGTATCATTTCTGCATTAATTTCGTTTTCTGAACGAATATGTACCATTTCTCCATTAATTTCGTTTTCTGAACGAATATGTGCCATTTCTCCATTAATTTCGTATATATATATATATATAATATTCTGAAAATCATAGAAGTATGAGAAAAGAATATCTCCAGTGTTATACTAGTAAAAAGATCCTTGAGGTCAAAAGATTCAATTTGTCGAATGGAATTATTATGAATGTGTCTTTCGCCACAGATTGTTGGCACACCGCAAAGAACCAATTTCTTAAGTATTCTCTTTTTCACACTATTTTGAAACGAATGCTGAGACTTCCATTTGGAACGGCATCAGATTTATTAGTGGTTTTCTTATATTTAATTGCATAGATTTTATTGATACTACAAACACAATTTATCCAGAGAGTTTAACTCTCGTAAAAACTAATCAATCTAATGTATCTTCAAATTTTCTTGATTCATTCATTACTTTGTCAGAATTTTCATTCTAAAACTATGGTAAAATAACAAGCAGCATTCAACTAATGATTAAACCAATTTTAACACCATTACACAAGCTATATTATTAAAGAAATAATATCATAAATGTTATGTTTTCAATTATCATAATGATGAATCATGAAAAATTATATTAACTTGAAAGAATAGATTCATTGAATTATGAATCACTGAACCAGCCTAAAAGAACTGATCTGAAGACATTTACTCAGTTTGAAGACGGCTAGTATTGTAAAACCATGCAATTCCTTAACTTTTTCGATAAATTTACACCAATTGTCTTTTTTTAAAAATCATTGCGAAATAGGATCGTCATAAAGATTTAACTTGCGTTTTATTTACATCTTTAGTGTTCTTCAAATTTCAGTTAATAAAAGTTAAGTTAATTTAAAGTGACAAACTGTCCATAAATGATAACTTAATTGAAATTTAAAACCAATCAGCAACCCGTTTGATCTGCAATGTCTTTTTTTTGCTAAAATTAAAAATTATTGAAGTACTGAAAATTTGAAAAAAAATAGAGTTGAAATGTTGATGTTGTTATCATGTCTATAGTTGAAATGTTGATTCGAAATCATGCTGATTCAATTATGTTAATCCGAAAAGTTCTAAAAACTGATTTAATGATTCAATGAGTTTAACATCTTGAGCAATTTAGATTGAAAACTGTCTCAACGTAAAAGTACCAATTCCATATCAAATGTAAAAACTATTGAGGTTATGAGCTTTTACAATTTCTAATAGTAGTGATATTATCTGATTATAAACTACATCTTGGGCAAATTATACATTTGTAAGTAATGAAATTTAGTTACAATATTTTTTATTTATATATATGAAATTCTCGAACGTTATTTGTTGTTATAATAGTTAACGAAAACATTAAAAAAAAACTGTGAATTAGTATAAATTTAAACATAAAAGATGGAAGTTTTTTCTATATCACAGCAGTATTAAAATTTGAGCGTTTATCAGATAAAATGAGAAGCAAGATTTCTCACAGCAGATTTTTTATTGTGATTGTTCTTAATTTAAGAAGGTGACACACAAATTATAAATATTTTTCAAAACTGATACAAGGAAGTTCTAGATTTAAAAGAAATGATTAAACTAATTCTTTAAAAGCACTCAATCATTTATACACAATAAAAGCTTTTTATAGCATATAGAGTTGTTAAATTTAGTTTCAGATAAAATTGGATTTATAGTTAGTCATATAGTCATAGTCATACCTGGCTACTTTGTCAAACATAAAATGTCCTAAAAAATACCTTTATGTCAAGAAAAAAATTCTCAGTGGGATATTCATATAATGACATGCAAGGAAATTAGCATACAAATTGCTTTCTAAACTGCATACGTTTTTATTTGCCGTAATAACTTGACTACTTTACTTGTATCAGCAGAAATAATCTAATTTATTTTATTTTTAGTTATTTATCATAAAGAACAATGAACAATTGATGGAATGCTGATTAAAAGTACCTTTTTATTGAAAGAAATCTATTAATTAGAATTCCAAAATGATTAAATAACATAAAAAAAAACTAGCGGAAAAATTAATTAGTGTTTTTTTTATTCTTATTTATGAGAAAACTTGAAAGAATGAAATAATTTACTTTAACAACATAAACCCTTGAACAATCATTCCCTACTAAATACTGGTCATTGTCTTTGCCAGGATTAAAGTGTCTTAAAAAATGAATGATAAAATTAAAAGTGAATAAATAGAAAACAAATTCTCTTGCCCATGGCTGCTTTCTGCGGTATTTCTATGATTGATTATTTCTCCCTGATGAACTCCTCAATTTCAGGTGTCTCAATTAATTAATCTGATACGGAGGATTTTTAAAAAAAAATGTATTGTGCATTTAATTTACAAATCGGATAGTGTAGAAATTAAGCAGGGACTCAATGTTTTGACACTCTACATTGTTTCTGCTGTCTTTGACTACGTGTCTGGAGCTGGCTACTCTGTTACGGCCTGTTGATTAATCACAAAGTATGGGTTTAAGAAATTAGGAGATTACGCATTTAATTTGAAATAAAGACAATGACAACAAGTAAAGCCCCTTTATTGAATGAAAATTGAGGGAAATGAAGCTATAAATTTAGGAAGTCATGTCTTCTTGTCCATGGAGAACAGCTTTTTTTTCCTACTATATTTCGAAATGTAGTTAATTGAAAAATTAGAGCAAAAGATACTACAAAAAAGCATAAAACTGGTTTTAGACATGGTCTTGATATTTTTAACCAAGAAGTGCTGTTGGAAATTTAAGTATTTTCTTCAACTTAAAAAATTAACAGAACTCTATTGAATTTATACGGATTTGGTAGTTTTTAACTAATTTTTGAGGACAAATAGTATATTTAATTAAATTTAGTGTTAGCAACGCATGAAATTCGCTTTTCTATGGATCTAATTCTAATTAATTATTTTCGAATTTCCTTTTTATTTTTAACACATGTATAATAAAACGGTAAGGTAAACCTTTTTGTTTTTGAAACAAATGTCTTTTGAGTTTTTTAATAGTCTAGATTAGATTTAAAAGTTTAGTTAACGATAGAAGTTTATATGGTTTTTAATTTCAGCTATTTTCAAAGTATAATATAAATTATCATGTATTTATATTTTCGTATTTAAAAGTATTCAGTCAAATTTTGAATTTTATTTTATTTATCAAACATAACTTAAATATTAAAACTAAAAAATGAAATAATGCTGTTAATACTTTGTATTCATGTCTTTTACAGCAATCAGTACTGCTAAACGAAGCTGCTCAGACTCAGTAAGGTTATTGATGCACATGTTTGGAATTCGGTCACATCGTCAAGAAGATAAGTTCTTAACTGAATATTTGTGTTTTTTCTTTTGCTGCGAAACTGTAGCTACAGCTATAGCTGTTGAGTGGAATTGAGGTCTGGAGACAGGCTAGGTAACTGTGAAATTTCAATACTGTTACGCGTGAACCTTTCCTTCAGCAACTTTAAGTTGCGTTTTGGGTCGTTGCCTTTGCTGAAATGCTAAATTTAGAGTCATTATTTGGTCTGAATACATCAATAAATTTGTTTTGCAAAACCTCCCCAGGATTTTCAAGAATTTAAACTATTTATGAGAAGCTATCCGTTTGATAATAGGTTTAATCTTCTCCTAAAGGTTTTATTATTCTTTCATGTAACTCTAAATACACGTATCTACCAGTACTGAATCTTTCGTTAATGCAAACTGAATGAGCAGGTATGCTTAGGGCTTACGACGTCACAGTCACGCAGCGACAGTTGTTGCCAAGTTTAAAATTAAAAGAAATTTATCGATTATATTGCAGTTTATTAGCTTTTATCTGTACAAATATTTAAACAGTGTTAAAAAACATGCGATATTAGCTTAATTATTACAATTATAAAAAATTTAAAATTATTGATTTTCAATCATTTTAACGGCAAAAAGCTGAACCAAGTTATAAAAAATTATTTAGGCCAAAAACTCTTGCATGCCAAAAGCAGAAACAATGATAGAGAAGCGTAGGAATTCGTCATACTATTATTGACTCCAATGATGCTTTACTAATTTCGGAAGTGGGCACTACTGATATTTTGGTATTTGGTCTAGTTTCCATAGGTACCAGATATATCAATATAGGTATAAGATATTATATAGGTAGCGTTGATGACTATTAAATCTGCACCGATGCTGTTTAGCTTTAATATAGATACTGTAAAAGAGATTTTTTTGCAGCTCCGCGAAAGGGATAAGAAGCGCAGGAAGTTTGTTTAATTATTATGATTTTGCTTCGATCAACAATATCACTCCAAATCAAACGGAATACTTATCATTTTGATGAATGAACTTCTAAAAACGCATTTTGCTTTATCGGATAAAACGTGAAGGGTACAAAAATTATAAATTAAAGAAAAAAAATATTTTAGCCATTTTATTGAGTTGATGTATGTCTTTCAGTTTTCCTCTTAATTTAACTAAATAATACTAAAATATCAAAAATAATCCGTCAAGGTATTGAGTATAAAAAAATGAAAAAAAATTCCATTTTATTACTATTATTAAACTCATGTTTGTGAAAATTGCAACATCATTAAGGACTTACGCGAGTGAGCTGAAATTTTCAGGAAATGCAAAGTAGAGCATAATATGCAAATGATTAGAATTTCAAACCCGTAGCGCATGCGTATGCTGAGCGGCGACCACTGAACGGCGGATGGATCCGAATAAAATAGACGGCTGTAGCAAGGCGTTTATGGTTATCGGTGGTTATCTGCTAGTGGTAAACGTTAGCTCAGACGTTACTTATGCCTCTTCGACGAAAGAGAGCGAGATTTCAACAACTTAGGGAGTTTGAAAGAGGGAGAATCATTGGCCTTCGTGAAGCTGGATTGTCTTATCGTGCAGTAGCCGCTCGTGTGCAGCGTAACAGAAGCACAGTGATGCGTGTTTGGAAGCAGTGGACGGACGAGTGTCAGACAACTCGGAAATCCGGGAGTGGCCCCCGAAATGTCACGTCAGCTCGCGATGATCGACACCTGATCCGTATAGTGCTGACAGACCGTACGGCTCCCTCTAGACAACTGGCAGCACAGTGGTCAATAACTACTGGTGTTTCATTGTGTGCTTCATCAATTCGTAGACGTCAAATGCAGCGTGGACTGCGCGCAAGGACTCCTTTATACAGGATCACCATACACCATACTCCTTCATACAGGATCACCACGCTAAACCATAGCCGCCTGCGGCTACAATAGGCCAATCAGCTTAGGAACTGGCGTGCTGATTGGCAGCGTGTCGTGTTTTCTGACGAATCCCGCTTTAATTTGTGGTACAATGATGGCCGCATTCGTGTCAGGCGCTATGCCGGTGAACGCCACCTTCCGGAGTGCGTTATCGAAAGTCACAGTGGACGAACACCCGGAGTTATGGTCTGGGGTGCCATAGCATATCATGGACGATCTCAATTGCTACGAATTGTGGGTAATCTGAACAACAACCGGTACATCAGTGAAGTTTTACAGCCCCAAGCTGTTCACTTCTTTCAAGCCTTGCCAGGCGGTGTATTTCAACAAGACAATGCCCGTTCTCATATTGCTAGGACTGTTCAATCCTTCCTTGCATTGCGACAGGTACAGCTTCTTCCTTGGCCTGCGTATTCCCCAGATATGTCACCGATTGAACATGTGTGTCATTTCGTTGGTCGGTGCCTCGCTCGTGATCCTCGTCCTGCTGCTTCTACAGACGAACTTTGGGTACACATACAAACTATATGGAATACTCTTCCTCAGACAGACATTCAAAATTTGCTTGACTCCATGCCACGTCGTGTAGCAGCGCTTATTGCGGTGCGTGGTGGCTACACAAAATACTGATTTCGATCTCTTGTTATTGTTTGTTTGCTTTGAAAGTTCAATAATTTATTTGTACCACTACCACTCAACTGTGTAGTAAATTTCATTCAATTATGACTATTCCTTCATGGTGTTGCAATTTTCAAAAACAGGAGTTTATTAAGGAAACTTACATAATAATTCTATGTATTGGATTGAAACTGTTTGCGAAACACTAAACTATTTTGATGTTATAATGAAACGTTACTGTCATCAGTGATATCACCATGAAATTGTCTACAATTTCCTCAGCAGCAGCAAGTGTTTCAACGCTAACAATGATTATGGTTTAAACGCAATTAAACAGTTCCGCATTTTGAAACAAATTTATTTAGATTTCAGAAAGTTCATGGCAATTTAATCATATTTATTTTATCCATCTAGATTGCCCAGTTAAAAAAAATGTTTGCCCTGTTTAGGTCTATAAACAAAACTGTTTCTAAGTTTAATAAGACATAACTTCACAAAATATGTAGAAAAATATATATTCAATGTTTTATGATTACAAAACATAAAGGATTCAGTTAGTGAATAAAATGATGACGACAGTCTGAAATGACAGGTAACATTTACTTGTCGCCAAATCATTCTTGAGAGTTCTTCTGTGAAAGACGCCAAAAGGAATCCTTATACTTCGATTTGTAGCAAAAAAAGAATAATAGCCTTTTTTTTTAGGTCATTACTTATTCTTATTCTTTTACAACATTATAGAAAGAAAGACATTCTATTTCATTATATATTTTCAAATTGCTTTTGCCTTTAGTAAAGTTTTATAACTATATGACTGTTATATGACTATATAATTTTTTAGATATATTTCCTCCAGTAAAGTTTATGTTTGTAAAAGTTTTATGCAAATAAAAGTAACAGTTTTATGTAAATAAAAGTAACAGTGTAGAAATTTTCGTTAATAAGAATAATTTCAGAAACGTAAAAAAAAAACTAAATTTGTTTTCAGTTTTAAGGAAAGCTGAATGGAAAAAAATATTTACACGCACATTTTATTTATGTGGTACCATAAACTCTGGTATTTTTTCTATCTATTTGGCAACACTATAGCTATTGTTTATTTTGTTAGGTTATCTTTTTTGATTTTGTTAAGTTGTCGTAGCTACCACTACAACTATCTATCTATATATATATTTCTCTTACACGGCGATAAAAAAAATGCCTCATTACAACTCTCCGAATGGCAACGCGAGAAAATCAACCAATAATTGCCGCTAAAAATGTCACATGCCAAATCTAGATTGGGTGGCTCAACATATAGCGCTTCTAAAAACGGAAACTGAAATAACCAGAGTGTAAAATATTATGTGCTTATGCGCATCGTATTTTTTGTTAAATAATTTATTTATTATATATCAGTTTATAGATGGTAACGAGNATATAGATACTGTAAAAGATATTTTTTTCACAGTTCCACGAAAGAGATGAGCAGCGCAGGAAGTTGTTTGATTATTATGATTTTGCTTCGAGCAGCAACATCACTCCAAATCATACTGAATACTCAAAATTTTGATGGATGGACTTCTAAAAACGTATTTTGCTTAATCGGATAAAACGTAAAAGGAAAAGGGTACAAAATATGATAAATTAAAAAAAAATTATTTTGGCTATCTTATTGAGTTGATATATGTCTTTCAGTTCCCTGCTTAATTTAACTAAATAAAACTAAAATGTCAAAAATAATGAGTCAAGGTATTGAGTATAAAAAAAAGAAAAAAATTCATTTTTATTACTATTCTTATTAAAATTTACATAATAATTCTATGCATTGAATTGAAACTGTTTGCAAGATACTAAACTATTTTGATGTTATAATGAAGCGTTACTATCATCAATGATATATCACCATGAAATTGTCAACCATTTGTTCAGCAGCAGCAAGTGTTTTAACGCTAACAATGATAATGGTTTAAACGCAATTAAACAGTTCTGCATTTTGAAACAAATTTATTTAGATTTCGGAAAGTTCATTACAATTGAGTCATATTTACTTTATCAATCTCGATTGCCTAGTCTTAACAAATTTTGTTTTTCTTGTTTAGGTCTATAAACAAAACTTTTTTTTCTCTTAAGTTAAATAAAACATAACTTCACAAAATATGTAGAAAAATATATATTCAATGTTTTGTGATTACAAAACATAAAGGATTCAGTTAGTGAATAAAATGATAACGACAGTCTGAAATGTCAGGTAACATTTACCTATCGCCAAATCACTCTTGATAGTTCTCCTATAAAAGAAGCCAAACGGAATCCTTATCTTTCGATTTGTAGCAACAAAAAAAAGAATAAGAGCCCTTTTTCAGGTCATTACGCATTATTTTACTACATTATAGAAAGAAAGACATTCTATTTCATTATATATTTCTAAATTGCTTTTGCCTTTAGTAAAGTTACATAACTATATGTCTGTTACATAACTACATAATTGTTTTAGATGTATTTCCTACAGCAAAGTTTATGTTTGTAAAAGTTTTATGTAAATAAAAGTAACAGTGTCAATAAAAGTGCCAATTTTATGTAAATAAAAGTAACAGTGTAGAAATTCTCGTTAATAAGAATAATTTCAGAAACGTAAAAAGAAAAGAACTGAATTTGTTTTCAGTTTTAAAGAAAGCTGAATGAAAAAAAAAATATTTATACACATATTTTATTTATGTGGTACCATAAACTCTGGTATCTCTCTATCTATTTGGCAACACTATAGTTATTGTTTATTTTGTTAGGTTATCTTTTTTGATTTCGTTAGGTTGTCGTAGTAACCACTACAACTATTAAAATCTAATTCTCTAGTATAAAAGACATGTTAACTCGATTCTATCTTGCGATACCTTTGATTGATGACGGTTGACATTGTTGGTAGCCTAGCCTCACATTAGGTATCCGAAATATTGAGAAACGTTCTTGAAAACTACATGCCCCATATATTCAGAAACGTTTCGGGATTTCTTTTACAGTGCATAATTGACACGGAGTTTGGAATTTTAAATTCTAAATTTAAATACGAAGTTATTAATTAATTTAATATTCAATTCGTTAAGAAAAAAAATATTTTTATAAACACAAGCTATATATTTGCTTCTACAAAGCATATATAATCGTAAAGTAGGTTTTAAAACGTGACATTATGTATTTGCAATCTCGAAGGAAAGCAGATGAATATTGCATTTGTGGGTACTTTTGTGTGTTAAGCATAGCATGAGTTTTGAAGCATTTTGCACACCTCTGAGGGAGAGCTGATGGTCATGAGTTCGATCCTGGCAGCCAGCAAAACAATTAGCTTGTATACACAGCAAAGTATATATGTATAAGTGTCGAAGCTGAAACTCTTCTCATTGATTCTAGCTCGTTGATTGGGAGTAGTGGGTACCAGGTCAGGTGCTGTTCACGTCGGCTGATGGTGGTCAAAATTACGTGTCATTCCCATTGAAGTTAAAAGAAAGATCCCCGAAAAAATTAGGTCAGGTGCTTCGTCAGGTTTGGGTGTTGTGTTTTGATAGATTTAACACAAAATAAAGAAAATTAAAGTTAAAATAAAAAAGCTTGAATACTCAACTTTTGCTAAGAACTGTACCTAAAAAACATACATTATAAAACTTTTCACCAAAAATAGTGGCAACTAATTTACACCAAAGCGGTGTTTCCAATACACCGAAACCAAGGATTTTTCTTGGTGTAGTGAATCACGTAGAATTTTCTTTTTACTATATGGTCTAAAATAACAGCCATCATGGTTGTTATTCAATAACACTAAAATATAAATTTACAGTTATATATGATACCCATGCGAATCAGTATAGTTACTTTTACGATACAGCGTAGAGCAAGAATCATAAATTTGGGATTCATATATACTTGAAATTAAATTAGTTTGTTAATCAAACACACACACAGCACTGCGCCAATAATCATATGAATTCGAACTAGGCTTAATAAAATTGAAGTGATAAGAAGTTAAATATCATAAAATTGTTTTATAAAATTGACAGACTTATGTAAATCTTCTTATGAAAATTTATTAATTATTATTACCCAACTGAAAGCATACAAATTTATTAAAAAAATTTACAAGTTCATTTTGTCATATTAATCCGACAAGAAGATTAAAAGATTGATTGGGGATTGGTTCAATCAGTAAAGAGGATTGAAACTCACTTGGTATTAAATAGGCTATGATCAGTTTGAAAACTCAATCCGAGATTTAAATTACTTGGCAAATAATCGGCTATGATGTTGGAAATTACACTCTTGCAGGTACTGGTGTCAATAACTAAGCCTAATTATGCTTCGATTTCCTCCATTATATATCGAAAATAAGAAAAGTTAATTTCTGCAGAAATAATGTTTCTAATTAT